TGGTTCATTGAACCACAATACCAATAAGTGATTAATAAAAGTCAAAAGACCAAAGAGGTCACCTTAATACCAAAAAATAAAAAAATAAAAAAATACAAACTAATAATAAGTAATACAAATTTAAACTAAGTTTTTGTAATTGTATAAATTTGTAAAATTAAAAAAACAAAAACATATTTAAAAAATCTAAATAAAAAAGCAATACAAACTTTTAATAATACAATTATAAAGTTCAAATTTAAAAAAAATTACTAATATAAAGAAGTTAGACAAACAAAAACATAAAAGTATTATCAACCAAATTATTAGATTCAGATTAGAAAAAAAATATATTAAATTAGATATAATATACTAATAACAGATTACAGTTTTTCTAAATTATCTGAATTATAAATTTAAAAACAAAGTAGAAGTATATTAAAGTATTAAAAATATATTATAAAATTAATACTAAAATTTAGATAAATTTTGCAAAAGCATAATTTTGTTAATAAAATTATAAAATAAGTAGATTAGTTAATATAAAAACTTCTTAAGTTACTGTTAGATTATATACTCTAAAATAAATAATAATCTAAATACAAGTCTTAAAAAAAGTTATATATGTCATACGTTAGGTTCGAAATTTTTTTTCGCTTGAACTAGTTAATAGTTCTTTTCTATTCTTTGAAATAATATATGTGTATTTTACGTCAAACTAAATAATATGGAATATTTATTTATGTTACAGCAAACTTTCGATGACTTGGTTAAAGGGTACATTGAAGGTTTGGCACCAAACAAAAAAGAAAAGGCATTGATCGATCAAGAAAAATTACAAAGAATTAAGAAAGTTCTTATTGATCCTATGAATACTACTCAATATACATTCACTTTTCATTATTGGGTTAAAAAAAATTTTAAATTACAAAAAATTGGTGATTTCTATATTGTACTTCACATTTGAACACAAAATAAAAAAAATAATGAGAAGGTTAAAATTGAACTTCTTGTGCTAGCTGTAGAAAACATGTATGATGAATTTTGCAAGATATATACAACAATTATCCAGCATGGTGGTCAAAAGGAAATATGGAATCAAGTTAGTAGTAAATAGGGATATTGCCGACAAGATCTTGTAGAAAAATTTGTAACACAATGTACTGTTTGTGCAGCAAGACGTACACGAATTCAACCACTAGCTGGAATTCCAATTATTGAGTGAAAATTCATATTACACTTACAAGTAAATTTATTAGCATAAATGTTTTATAATTATTATTATAATAGAGCATTAATTTTTTTTTATTTTTAATAGATTGACTTAATCAATATGACCTTTAAACATAATAATGAATTTAAGTACATCGCCCATCTGCATGATCATTTTACCAGGTACTCCTAGGCCCATGCACTTACCTCTAAGTGAGCAATAGAAGTGGTGGCTTTTTTGTTTGAAATTTTTACTACATTCGGACCACCTCTAATTCTTCAATCAGATAATGGAAAGGAATTTGTTGCTTCAGTGATTGTTAAATTGGTTCATTTATAACCTACAATTCAAATTATTAACAGGAGACCTAGACATCCTGCTAGTCAAGGTCTAGTTAAATGGACAAATAGAATCCTTGAAATAAAGTTGAAAAAATGGATAGAAAACAATAAGCATCAAGATTGGTCATTCGGATTGAGATTTGCAATTTATGTGATGAATAACTCAGTTTGTAGAGCATATAATAAAAAACCTTACAAGCTTGTATTTGGTGGAGCTCCACATGGTTATTCTGCTGCATTTAATCAGTTGTTTGAAACTAGTATTTTTTCTGAAGATGAGATTCCAAATGAATTTGTATTAGAAAATATTCAGGAATCAGTTAACGATTTGGATGATTTAATCGATAACACTAATTTCATACCTATAACAATAACAGAATCTTCAAGTTTAAATCAAGATTCGAATATAGAAACACCAAGTAACTTAGAATTTTTGGTTAACAATGATCATGAAAATCAGAATATGGTAGGTTTATAATATTAATTTTGTTAATATGCATATTTATTTGTTTCTATATCGGTATAGAACAAAATAATCATACTATATGTATATTAATATTCATATTAATAAAATATAATAAAAAGAAAACTCTTTCTAATGATCCCTCACATCAACTTTTTCAAAAAGACTGACCTATGAAAACTATATAGTTATTATATTAAATATAACAAAAC